AAATCAACTAAAATCTGTGATAAAATCAACTAAAATCAATGATACAAACAACTAAAATCAATGATACAATCATGTGGAGGCAGAATAGGCTTGCTTAAAAAGAAAAGTCTTTAAGCCTTTTTTAAAGTCAGTCAATGATTGTGGAGCTCTCAGATATTCAGGGAGGGAGTTCCAGAGGCGGGGGGCAGCCACACAGAATGCCCGATCTCCCATGGTTCTTAATTTAGTTCGTGGCAGGTGGAGGAGATGACTGTTCTGTGATCGTAGGGACCGGGTGGATGAATATGGAGCAAGAAGGTCCTTCAGATAATCTGGTGAATTTCCATATAAACACTGATGGGTAATGAGAGCAATTTTGTACTGAATTCTGTAGGTGACAGGAAGCCAATGGAGGTTATGGAGAATGGGTGTAATATGTTCAAATTTACGAGCTCTCAATAAAATCCTGGCTGCACTGTTTTGAATATATTGAAGCTTCTGAAGGTTTTTGCCGGGTATTCCAGTAAACAGGGAGTTGCAGTAGTCGAGCCTGGAGGAGACAAAAGCATGGACGAGTTTCTCTGCATCAGCAAAAGTGAGAGATGGGCGCAGTTTGGAGATATTTCGAAGATGGAAGAAACAGGTTTTAAACAGATGCTTAATGTGATTTTCAAATGTAAGATGAGAGTCCATTTTTATTCCAAGATTTGTAACAGAGGTGGTGGAGAGGGGGATGTCTTGTCCGGAAAATGAAATAGTCGTTATAGTTGAAGTTTGAACCTGGTGAGGGGTGCCAATTAGCATGTCAGGGAAGCAAAACTGGTCAGTGAGTGACACAACATTTCTACTAGAAACTTTGAAAGAGCTCAAAATGATCTGTATCACCTGTAGCTCATTCAGGGAGTGCAGTAACGTCTCCACCGTCATTAAAACCTGTCGCGGGTCCATTTTGGGTGCTCAGGTTTGTTTACATTCACCCGGAAGTAGAACTTCTTCTTCTGTGTTTTTTTAAGGAGAGTTTACCACTCTGCGCATGTCAGTACTGCTGTTCAGAACAAAGCCCGCTGCATGTAAACGCTCGTCATGAACAGATTGTAATCATGTAAACAATACATTTGAATTATTCAAACAGAACACATTTCAATCCGGTCAAAGAATTCTGCGCATGTAAACATAGCTAGTGACCTCAGTCTTCTGATCATTAAAACTCAAAAAGTTCACAGCCATCCAAGTCTTGATGTCATCAAGACATTTTGACAAAGGGCGAATGGAGGAGGAACTGTTAGGTGTTAACGGCAGATAAATCTGAGAGTCATCAGCATAACAACGAAAGGAAAGACCATGTTTCCTCAGGATAGACCCTAAGGGGAAGAGATACAATGAAAACAGAAGGGGTCCAAGAATGGAGCCTTGCGGGACCCTGCAGGAAAGAGGTACTGAAGTAGATAAGAGTGTTAGCAAAATTAACACAGAAACTCCTGTTGCTCAGGTATGAATGGAACCATTCTAACGCTGCACCAGTAATCCCAACCCAGTGTTCTAGCCGGGATAAAAGGATACTGTGGTCCACAGTATCAAATACAGCGGTAAGGTCAAGGAGCACCAGGACTAAAGACTGACCAGAGTCATTTGTCAGAAGAATGTCGTTACAGACCTTAACTAAGGCTGTTTTGGTGCTGTGTATTTTCTTAAAGTCAGACTGAAAGATCTCAAGAATAGAATTTCCACTCAAGAATTTGTTTAATTGAGTGAAAACTATTTTTTCCAGGATCTTAGAAAGAAAGAGAAGTTTGGAGATGGGTCTGAAGTTTGAGCAGATTGAAGGGTCAAGTCCAGGTTTTTTTTATTAAAGCAGTTACCACTGCATGTTTAAAAGCATTAGGAACTACCCTGTAGCCATACAGCTGTTTATAATGTCAAGAACAGAGGGTCCAATGGAGGGTAGGACTTGTTTAAAAAACAATGTAGGGATGGGGTCAGCAGGGGAACCTGAGAGTTTCATATGACCAATGACATCATTTAGAAATGAGAGGGAAATGGGTTCAAACTGGTTAAAGACTGATGTGGAGGGGACAAAGACAGAGGGGTGTGAGGAATCAGTGACCTGATCGACACAACCTTTTTAACAAAGAAACTGGCAAAGTCGTCACACGTAACTGCAGAGATCTCCCTGTTGGCAGACTGAGTCACGGTTAAAATTGTGTTAATGGTATTGAAAAGAACGCAGGGATTGTGGCTGTTTGAGGCGATGATTTGGGAGAAATATTAGTTTTGGTTTTTTTCTGATTTAACGGTGGCCTGGTACTCTTTGTAAGGGTTCATTCACACCAGTCCTGTTTAGTCCGCCTTAATCGAACTCTAGCTCGTTTTCCTAGAAAGTGTGGTTCGTTTTGGGGAAGTGTGAACGCGCCATCGGAGTCCGTCACGGAACAAAAAGGCGAACTCTGGCCCGGGCTAAAACCTAGGTCTCGGTCCAGTAGAAGAGAACTCCAGCGCGGTTCGAGTACAGTGTGAATGTAAACAGACCGGGCCCCACTCCACAAGCAAGAAGTGGAGTACAGCGAAGGGCAAACAAACACGCATTTCTCTTACCTTGGATGGAGCCGTCAGCTGCCTTGTGTGAAAAACAATATTCACTATGGTTTTCTGCCTCATCTTCTGCTCATGCCAAGTCCATTTTTGAAAAATGACAAAATATAACTCCTAAAACTGCTAAAACTTGATGCCACTCCGTTTTTGTTTTTATTTCCAGAAGAAGAAGTGTCTTCAGAGGTTTTTGTGTTGTTTCTTTCAGTAGTTCTTAGTGCAGCGCCCCCACTGGCGAGCGGGGGAATAGGTTGGTTCAACAGGTTGGCTCGACTGCACAGTGCAGTGTGAATGCAAACGCACCAGCTCAAATGTAAACAAAATGTCTTGAATATTGTTCCCCAACCGAACAGAGTCTACCGGACCATCAGGTGTGAAAACAACCTTACATGATTTTAGCATGATAAAAGAAATGTGAAGTTGTTCCTTCTTCCATTTACGTTCGGCTTTCCTGCATTGACACTTGGCTGAGCGAGTGATCTCATTCATCCAAGGGTGTGGAGTGCCTAATTTTGGATGCCTAATTTTTAATGGTGCAACTAGGTCAAGTACTTTAGCACATGTCTCTTGATGTACAGTGACTAGCTCATGGGTGTTCATGGAAAAGGATTCACAGACAGAGAGAGAGTTTTTAGTAAAAGCAGAGGAAAAGAGCGCAGCAGTGGAAGGGTTAAATATTCGACAAGGCCTTGCTGGAGGTGGAGGGGGTTTTGAGTCCTTGACAAAAGAAGTGTTGAAAGA